AAATCATAAGAGTCAGTCTTGGAAAGTCACGCCTAGAGTTCGGAAGTAGATTGTAAGTGTATTGATGTTAGAAAAAAAATAAAGTTTTCTTTTTTTATTTTTTTACCTCAAATTCCTTTTTTATTTTGTTATTTTACGTGACAAGAGCATAGCCTTTTTTTACTTTGTTATTTTACGTGACACTTCCATCAGATCATCTACTTCCTTTCTTTCCGACGGCGCCAGCCTCCGCGGTCTTCGCGCTACGGGTTTGTCGCTTTTCAGAACTATTTTTGCGGTTATTCCGACGTCTCGCTTCTTCTCCGGCCTATACCCTTTAACGATATCCCGAATGGCTTCACGGTAATGAGGTTCTCGTACATGCGACAAGTCTATCTCATCGGCTTGTTCTACCACGTTTACCCTCAGTACATCCGGCGCGTCCTCGTGACCGTCGGTCTGATCGTCGAGTCGGAAAAAGGTCACCTCGCCCCGTTTGACTCGCAACTCTACCTGGTCTAAAAATCGGTACCTAACAGTAGACTGTGTCTTGTCATTACCTTATTCGAGACAACATGCAGGGTGACAGTAAAGTCGTACCCGTCGACCGTCATTACTCTTGTAAACTCGCCCCAGATACTATTGCCAGCGGAACCAAAACCATCAAACCTAAGTTTGCAGTTTCCCAGAGGTGGTGATCCTAACCTCGCATACTCATCCGCTCGTATGAACGTAAGGTCACTGCCTGTAGCCACTAACGAGACAAACCTGCAGCCATCTATCGACACGTCTTTCAAGTACTTTTTCCTCTCCGGTCTTGAGATTACGTAAGTCTTTACTTGTCGCGCTGTACAATTCGCCGCCACATGTCCAAACTCGTTGCATTTGAAACACTTCATACCTTTTCTTTTCTCCGGACACTTAGCACTTAAGTGATTCGCACTGCCACAATTGAAACACCTTCTCTTATCACTCGCTGTTGGCCTCGACTGGCTTCGCACTTCCGATCGTTTTCCTTTATCCTCCTTGTGTCCCCCAAACTTTGTCTTCGCCTTCATGTCCTCCCTCATCTCTTCATACTGCTTCAACCGTTCTTTCAGTTGTTGCATGGTCTTGGCTCCATACAACATAGCCTTGTTCGCAGGCTCGTCGGGAATGCCTTGAACGATATACCTGATTTGCGACGGTATATCGACTGTTCCCTGTCCCGCAATCTCCCGCATACAGTTCATATACTGTCGCAGACTCTCGTCTGGTCTCTTCATTCTATTTGCCAACTCCTGTTGGTCAGTCACGGCGTTTTCGAACTCATCTTTTAACGCCTCCTTCAGCTTTATCCAGGACTTCGTGCATCGTTCTCGCTTTACGACGGATTGAGCGGAGCCCGTGAGCAGTTTCTTAGCGAAGGCTACCATGTCTGACCACCCACACACTTTCGCCATTTCCTCGAAGTCCTCGATCCATCGACTTACACTCGGCAGACCGTCCCCGCTGAATTTCTCTAGCGAGTCCTCTACGTCTCTGAACGTTAACAGCATGCACCTAGGCTCGTCTTGCCTCGGTCGTCTTAACACTGGAGTTACCCGAACTCCGTCGTCTTGCCTATTGAGATTGCGATTTCCTGGGCCGTTAACGTCCAAACGGTCCCCAACCACGCTAATCTCATCGTCGTCGTCGTCTTCTTCCGAATCGTCGTTATCATTCTCTGGATCGTCTTCTCGGGCACCGTGTTCCCGTTCTACGCGTAACGCAGCGAGCAATCGTTCTACCAGCTCGCGTTTTCTGTCCGCTAGTCTCAGCCGTCGTCTTCTCAGTTCGTCTTTTAGTTCAGATGTTCGCATCTGAACCACCTGCGCCTCGTCGGTCAATACTGCTTCTCCTGTATTGTAGTCAGCTGTTGTTCTCAAATATCACTTTCAGGAATAAACCGTCACTTAAACTCTTCACTTGTCACTTGGCACTCTAAATCCCGGCTGAAGCCCCCAAAAATATGTAGTAACTGATGGATTCTTAGAGTAAGGACAAGTGATGATGGTAGAGTTCAAAGTTTAATGTATTTTAATGAGTGATATGTAATAACAAAAGGACAGACTACAATATCGTCGCACGTCGACTCACACTCCGTATCCGCTCAACTCGCACTCTGCTTCTCGACTGACTCTCTGGCCGTCGTAACATTCTATTGTCTTTTGCTAGGCCCGCCGCACACGTGTTCTACAGACGCTCGTAGCCAGGGTCACGTAGGTCTTTTCGGCAAGGCTATTTACTTGAAGGACCCGGTAATGCATTGAAGGATATTGATGGAGCGGACAGCGCCTCGGCTCTCGCAACATTGTCTGTAGTTAGCTCGACGTTTCTTAGGCCCTTCTCCCCGATACTACATATACATGTGTATGCTTTTCTTATGTGTTACGGCGAAATACACTCCTCGTCAAAAAGATAACCCAGGTGTGTTATCTTTAATTTCTTAATGACGCATGTAAAGTTTTTCATCTGTAACGTATAATATCAAAACATTATGAGCTCAGGATATGCGGTTCGTTGAAAATAATTAAAAATATTATGAGGTTTAGTGTGTAACAAAAAAAATTGTTTTATTTTAAGAATGAAATGATATTTTTATAAAATTCTCCATTTTTATGTTTTGTACATTTTTTACATTATGTTTAATATTTAATATATTTTGCAGGTATTTGTATATTTGTATTTATCATAACTGTACAAAAATCCGCGATTTAACTGTAATGCCTAGTATTGACCTAACAATAATTTCTGATATAGTTGTGCGGTAGGCTATATTTGTGTATATTTATAGATACTTGCCCTCCTTTTCAAGCTTAACCTTTTCAGAGTTTACTACAAAAGGTTTAAAAATGTTAAAATCGGCACATCTATATGTACATATCTTTATATAAGTATAATCGCAAGTAAATATATGTATTTATTTCGAATACATTCAAGGTTTGCATGTGTAGAATAATATGAGAATACTGTTAATTGCTTAGTGTTTATACATTAACGCATAGATTATAAAAACATTGAGCGTACTCCAGAATTGTTAAATCCTCCTTTCATACACTCAGGTGGTCAAATACATATACATAGTATATACATATGTATATACATATACGTGTAAGTCATGTGTACATATAGTTGTAATGAAACTAAAATGAAAGAAAAAAATGTTAAATGCTCTTTTTTATATTAAGAAGAATCATAGCTCCTTATTTTTACGCTTGTTCGTTACTCACTGGAAGTAACCTTGATTATCTACAACTGAGAAAAATAAGAAAGTAAGAAATTAAAGAAAGATTCTCAAATATTCTTTTATGAATAAATTGTACACAAATTTTCTTTAATAAAAAGAATCTATTTGATTTTGTAAAACTACTTATGAATGTATTAAAACATTACTATCACTTAGAACAAAAACAAGATCACGATAAAAATATAAAAATATTGTAATATCGTAAAGTAATTTGAATTAGAGATCGGTTGAAATTAGAAAAAACCGTATACGTCGTCCTTCTGTGGTTCGTTTACATTTAAGAGCGCCTATGTGACTAAAATCACCTAGTTCTTACAGAGATATGAGAAAAACAACAAACAACGTAAGAGCAGAAGGACGGTTTCGTGTTTCAAGGAGGGACGACCGAGAGGTTAGAGTATGCGAGTCGAAAAGTGAGTGTGTTGCGAGAGTCAGAGTTCATCGAGACACCGAAGAGTAGAGTTGAGAGAATTGATCGAGTTGTAGAGTTGCTAGAGAGAGAGAGTGTGTGTGTGTTAGATTCGTTGTGACGAGAGTTGCCAAATAACTGTAAAGTTATTTGATATAGATACGAGTACCGCATTTAGTTTCAGTTAAACAAACATCGTTTTCTGTCCAATTTATATTTGTATATTTAATTCACTATTAATAAATTGTAAGTAATCGGGAAAAAATTTATATCTTAATTTCCACGATACTACAATATGTATAACAATCACTAAAATCTTTCTTTCTCAATAAATGAGCCTCATGTAAATTATAATTTACATTTTATCTCGATCTAGAAGGAAATCAATTCATTTAATAAACATGTGTTAAATATACTTTATTTCTTAAGATACATACGTACATGGTGTATCTGTTAAAAAAAATTGTTAAAGATGTTTTATTAGTTTTAAATTATTTAGTTTAATAATATAATAAAAACTGCCGCATACGCAAATTTATATTGATGTAGCAGTAATTCAATATACCCACATGCGGAAGCACCGCATTATAGCGAAGCACCGGAGAAATACTATTGTGATGCAAATCGAACCTGCAAATGCCCATCAGAGTTGGCTCTCACTAATATTTTTTAAAAATACTTTATCAAATGCTCATTGTTTATGAGTAGAAGACTCTAAAAACAGTATAGGATTTCTAAATGGATATGGCAATCACGTTAAACCACGAAAATCCATAAGGTGATCTGTCTACACTTATATATTGTCTATGGTTCAGCAACTCTATATGACCGTGGTTACGTCTATTATGTACCTCGTTCGCGGCCGCAGCGCGGCGCGTCGGCAAGCAAGGGCGATACACTAACTTCAGGGACAGTCACGAAAACAGCTTTTTCACGTTAATCATTCCAGAATTCTGGTTCCAACAAGACAGCTGTTTATGTTTTCCTCACATTTTGCCTTTCTTAAAATCAGTGTCCTTTCTGGCAATGTGTTGAATACAAATTTTTATTTCTAATAGAATTATTAACGTAGTATAATTTTGTCTATATAATTCTTGCTTTGTTACAAATAAAGATGACGTATTTAAGTTCGTGGGAAGAATTTGAAAAAGGTGCTGAGAGGTTATATCTTCAAGACCCAATGAAGGTGTGTTTTAATTAAATTAATGTTCATTTATACATTTTTTATTCATAAAATATATATTGAAATGTATTCTAGTTAATAACATAAGGTATAGGTTATAAAACATAGGTTATAAATCGTAATTGAGATAGGTATGACATGACATGTCATATTGAAAACTAAACTCTACTTAAACAAATTTTTTAACTAAAAAATATATCATATACAACTGTAAAATTTTTAGAACGTGAATTTTCACTGTATTAATTGGTATATGAATAATACAAATGTATTCTGTGCAAAATATTTATTTATTTTAATATTAGATTACAGGTGAAATAAATAAAGTTTATAAAGGCAGATCATATTTATAAATAGTTCAATAATCATGAAGTCTATAATTTATTATTTTGTCATTTTAGGCTCGGTATACAATGAAATATTGCCATAATAAAGGTGTTCTATATCTAAAACTTACAGATAACAGAACGGTAAGCTTTATCCTTATACAACTTACCTTGTAAGTCTTAAAAATCTACTTAAATAATACATTTATAATTTTCTTCCATAGTGTCTACAATATAAAACAGAGATAGCACAAGATTTAAAGAAGATGGAAAAATTTATAGGAAACCTAATGAGGCACATGGCATCTAAAGAGAGCTAAATAAGGACTAGATGAGATTAGGGACACTTTTTTAATCAAGGAATAAAAGTGCTGCGCATTTAATTCATTGTTTACGTTGTTCCATTTCATAAGATTCAGTGATTGATGGGATTATAGATATTTAATTTGAATGAGGTATAAAACTTTCTTAAATATACAATATGTGCATAAATGTCTATTTTGTATTTATTTAAAGCTTCATGCTCATTTCGGGCAGTTCCGTTGTCTCCTTGTTAAAGTTCTGAAACAGTATAAAATAAAATGTATCGTGGTATAAATTTATGTAGAAATAAATTTATTTAAAAATAAGTGTTCCAAATAAAAACCATTTCAAGGTACAAAAATATGGTATACTAAAATTTACTTGAAAATACCAATACTTCTTGGAAAGTGTAACTGTGTGCATATGTGTAACAGCAGCATGTAGTGCATTAGTTATTAATAAAGCCGAACTTAATTTTAATTTTTTACTAGATATTATTGTAAAAGGGAAGCACGAAGCAATGAAAAGAAGCACTTACGATATAATGGGCTGAAGAACAGCATCCAGAGTAGTATCAACAGGAGGGTAGATTTCTTGATTTGGAGACAGTTCATAGCGTACCTCTCCCCCTAATTGCATTTGCGGCTATACCAAACAAAACTATTTTACTAATTTACTATGCAGAAGATTGTACGATACAACACACTACATTTTACCAACAGTATTTCATTGAATCGATTTTTCTTATCGCATTATGATTCAAAGAGAAGAAAAATGATGTAACAAAATACTGTGGCTAGCAGAGAAGGAAATAGCAAGCCTTAACCACATGTATTTGTAAAAAGCGTTCAGTGCATCTAAAAGATTTTCGTACAATAAGTGCACAATCTTAATAAAGACAATTTATCTGTCATTTAAGATTATAGTAATCCTTCTTTCTTTCTTAAAAGCAAAAAGCTTAAACTACTTGAAGCAAAAGTGTTACCCATTATTTTCTAGTAATATTTTGTTCAAGCAATAACATAGTGAAGTATAATTACGTGTAGAAAGCGGAAGTAAAGAAAATAATGAGTTTCACTCGAAACCAAAATTGATAAACGAAAAATTGACGTCATAAACGAACAAGCGAAAAAATACGTACTACCCGATTAGGTTTAGCGCTGTCGGCGGAACTTGAGCAGCAACTTGAAAATTCCTGCGGTGTACTTTCCCCGAGCCCACTGTCCACATTACTTCCTATTAATATTCTGTTGTTACGAGTATAATAAAAGTCCTTCCTCATATTGCACTCGCTCCTACTACCATCGTAGTATTTTGTCTCGACTGGACTCGGCCTGGTCGGCGGCAAATTATAACTTCCGTCGCGACTATGTTGTATCATTCTTCTGTTTCTTTTGCCAACGGGTCCGATCGTTCTGAAAGTGATTCCTTGACAATCTTGCGATATCACGGCAAAATTTAAGCACAGCCCTGATCGGACACCAACGACATCGATGCATATTTTAGTTTATCAAACGTTCATAACATGGTTAATACATACTACGAGCCATATTGCATTCCCTAACGATACATATTTTTATTCACATTACAACACTAAGTTTTACTTAACAATTTCTCCATTCGTCGATCACTTACATACGTACGCCAATGTATTTAAAAGTCTATAAGTGTTTAAGGAGAGAATAACGTTACTGGCTACCTAAAGAGGGGTTCAGGGAATCGAGTCGACTGGCATGATGAAAATTTCGATCTGGATCGTTGACAATGATTATCTACCAGAACTTCAACACTCCCATATACCGATCACAATTAATTAACGATTAACACGATGCATTATACCATTACATAGAAAATACACAAAACATTTCAAAAGAAAACACACACGTACAAATGCTACAATTGTTTTTAGAACGTATTTTTATGGGACAGCAATGTGCTTTCATGGTATAGCGAAAAGCATCAGTATAGGTGCCAGCCAGGAAATAAATAAACAGGTGCGACAAGCTGTTAATCTCATCGATTTATTAAGGACCTATCATGCTTTAAATAAATAATAGGGGGCATGCTTAAAATAGATCACGTACATGCTCTTAATAAATTAAACAAAAAAAAGAAACACCGCATGCAATGGGAAAAATTTCAAACAATGACTACGGATCCCGTCTCATCCTCCAGTTGCGGAGGATGACTCTGGATGTTGCAGGCCATCTTGAGATCATCGTACCTAGGTAGGGACGATGAGTCTGCGTCATCCAATCGAGAATTGCTAGACTGTAGCACATTGCTAGACGTACATTGTTGTACGGATGATTGTGATTGAACCACCGTATATGGTATCTCTCGTCGTTGCTGTTCAGTCATTCCGGAAGTATCGACTAGCCCAAACTCCAAGTGTCTGCAAAATCAGCCATTGTTTCATTGTTTTACATTATGTGGTGTTACTCAAGGAAATTCATTATTTTTACAGAAACTTCCTTGCATAAATCATTGTGCAAATTGTTTGGTATAAATAATTCAATTTCATTCACACCAGAAGTAATTAGATTAGTATACATATGTTACATGGTAATACTAAGATTGTTCGGTTTATATGTACACGAGATACAGTTGTTTCATTTGGAGGGAGAAATATAATACAAAGTATTTGTGCAATTTTAACATTAAATATGTACATTTGAAATTAGATAAATTACATTTGTATTGGAGATGACGAGGTAGATAAAATTCACTTTGGATCATTTGGTTTTCATGCATTTAATATTTAACTTTAACTAATTTAACTATATATCGCTATAAACACAATAAAATAATATTGAAAATTTTATACAAAATAATATTACAAAAAGTTTATACTTAATATTATACTTACCCCTCCAAATCAAACAATTCTTCTACGTGTTCTCTCTTATCTTTATTTTTACCGAACAAACAGCATAAAAAGATGAGAAAGGAAACATCTATTTGATAAATAATTATTTCAGTATCGTTACAATTTCATAAAAAAAACGTACTTTCTAAGTTCGTCTGGCAATGGTTGCTTTTGAGAAGGACTCCGGTGTCTACTTCTATGCCTTCTTCTTGGTTCCGTGTGGCTCACCTATTAAAATATTCATTTTAATCAGTTTACATTTACGATAAAAGAAGGAAAACGCACGAGAAACTGTACGAAATAGAGAAGACGAAAGCATCGCTGAATATCGAATAAAAGAAATAATATTCAACATCTTATTCGAACTTACAACAGCCCGTTGAACCCCTTCGCCTTTCCGCTTCTGTGCTTCTTTCCATTGCGGTTCGGAATCTACCAATTCGTGTCTAAAAAGAATTACGCACGCATATGTAAAAACTTTTAATTCCAAAATATTCGTGCATAGTATAAAGTGTTTTGTGATAAACTAAGTTGGCTCGTTCCACTTGTGATTTTACATTAAAGACATACTTCCCAGGCGCGTCGTCATTAAAATAATTATCACCTTTATATGCTCTACGTACCCTACCGTGAGAATATAATGAGTACAAGGGTTTCCTTCCCGTCCTCACGGTCGATGAACTTGCATAAGATGTTCTATCAAGATATTTCGTTTTCACATCACTGTCTAAGGGGTCTTTATTATGCCGATTAATTACCAATTAGGCTAACTAACGTATATCTTAGAATTTAGACGTATATCTTAGAATTCTAATTGTCTCAATGCACGATAACAAATGTAACGATGCTGATCAACGCAGTTGAGTTGTTTCTTTCGTTTAATGTCTAATCGTTGACAACGGTGAGCATAAATAAATACAAGAAAATCGTACCTAGATGATCGGGAGCTTCTGTGCTTCCTACGGTGCTTGCGATGGCCCGATCTTGTATCCGAACCTCTCGATAGCTCGGATTCGCAATCAGAGTGACGACTATGTCTTCGATGACTATGACTATGACTTCTTCTACGATGACCACCGCGACTATGACTGTCTCCTGAACTTTGGCTCTCTACAGAGCTACTCCGTCGTTGGAGTCTGCTCAAGAGCTAAAAAGTGAATAACGATATAGCATTAACGCTAAGAATATTGAAATTCAACTCATTTCTGCTACATAATACGAAAAATTATAAAATGTAATCAAGTTAATAACAAATAACAGATGTGAAGAACGTACTGCCGGTGCCGTTCCCGCAGAGCGGACCGACCGAGGACTAGACGAAGTGTAAAGACCACGAGGTTGGCTCTGAGTCCACGGCGCGCTCCTGGTACTCCTAGGACTTGAATTATTCACTTGTCTCGCATTTTGAGTATTGCACAGAACGTTTCCCCCGACCGAATTGCTGCTCGGATTCGAATTCACTGTCGCGGGTGTTTCCACGAACGGGCCGACCATTTCTTGGCCTTCGACCACGCGTCGCTGTGCCCTACGACTAGGTGTTCTCTGGAAAATCGGCGGTGGATTCCGTCTAATCACTGTGTGCTTCTCAGAGCTAGACGGAGGACTGTACGAGCGGAAACGAGAGTAAGGACTCAAAGGTGGTGGACCGGTGGCCATCAACCGGAAGAATGCTTGGTGCTCCAAACAACACTTCCATAGATGTCTACAGGCACCTTTTGACGGTGACTCGAAACCGTGCGTTCTTTCCTCAGAATTCTTTTCGCTGACTCTTAGCATGAAATATCTACCCTGAAAGAAGTAATAGGATGATTTTTATGTATTTTAATGCTAATTATAGTAGCAATTTTGATATGTGAAACATATGAGTGAATAATGTTTCGAGAAATGACGTTTACCTACCTTATAATAGATCTTATTGATTCGAGGCCAGTAGTAATTTCCCACTTTGGACTTGTTACGTAGTAGAATTATCCCGCTCGGTGTCAGACCCAAAAAATACTCCACGCTATCTTCGCCCTGCGAATCGAGATTACGGGTTTTCTACACATTATCGTGTTTCGTTAAGGCATCGGTAACTATTGTTCGTTTATACAACAAGTACCTACCAAAACGGGATGCAAATCAACCCCGTACATTTCCAGCCATTTCACCTTGTCCAAATAATTCAGCTCCGCGGCAGAGGGTAATTGTCCTCTGGAAAAGGAGGTCATTGTTACTTTAAATTACCTTCATTATTAATTGCCTGTATTGTGAAATCTATCACTTTACTTTCTATACTATATGTGAAACAAATGAAAGCGGGTATCTTCTTTACAGATGCTTGTGTTAAGGAATGTAATGTAAATGACATACACGAGAGTTTTATGAAGTTCCACTATACGATTTTCCAATTCCGTAGTTTGGTTCGCTAAAAACCGAAATTCAGTAACGTAGCCCACAGAATGTCGTCTTGGATCG